AGTTCATAATCTTCCAGACAATTAGAACAAAGGGTACATGTGTGTGTGCAGTGAGGGGCATCTCAAAAGTTTCTCTTGGCATCTGGCACAGATCTAGTTAGAAGGTTCTTGGAGATAGACCATTTCCATGCAAAAAATCCGTAAGATCCTGTACTCTCCACCAGGGCCATTTCTCATCTATTATGACTTGCCAGAATTTTTTTTCTCGGGGGAAATGCTATCAACAAATTAAAAAATTATTGGCTCTGGTAAAGAATATTTCAGAAGTAAAAGTGAAAACTCATGGCTAGGTCATAGAAAAAGTCCATCATTAGGATGATGTCAGCAAAATGACACCCTATTTGTATTGGTCATCTATTGCTGCATAATTGCCCCAACCATCACCATTTGTCATCTCATAGTTCCTGTGAGTCAGGAATCCAGGAATGGCTTAGCTCACGGTCTCTCAAACTGCATTCAAAAGCTGCAGTCATCTGAAGACTCACATTAGGGCGAACACACTTCATGGCTCCTGTTGTTTTTGGCAGGCCTCAGGACCTTGCTGGCTGTTAGCTGCAGACTATGCTTGCCATATAGACCTCTCAGGAGGGTAGCTCACAATAGAGCAAGAGAAAGCATCCAAAATGGAAACCACAGTATTTTTACAATCTAGTCTTGGGATTTTTTTTCTTACTTCTGCAGTATTCTATGCACTGTAAGAGGCTTAAGTCCAGTGCATACTTAAGGGGAGGGGATTATACCAGAATGTGAAGAGTAGAAGGTGGGGATCATTGGGGGCCATCTTAGAGGTTACCACTAAGATGGTATCAACCAACCAACTTATCAACAGTGCACAGCCATCTGACTTGGCGATTAAATTGTTTAAAATGTATACTATACACCAGGAAGTTCTAGTCCCAAAATTGATTAAAACACCAATTAACAAATATAATTCCAAATCTAATGGCTGTTGTGTTGTTAGGTGCCGTTGAGTCAGACCTGACTCATAGCAAGTAGATTACCCCATCTTCCTTCTGAGGAGTGGCTGGTAGGTTTGAACTGCCAGCCTTCTGGTTAGCAGTCAAGTGCCTTAGGCACTATGCTACCAGAACTCCTAATCTAATGGTAGCCTGAGGAATTTATGTGATTCAATCAGTGAGGATAAACTTGGTCATGCTGTTAACGACCCCCAAATTGCAAACTTAAGATTGACTTCTTGCTCATGTGGCATGTCTACTGCAAGCTGCTTGGGCTTGTAATTGTATTATATTCTCATCCTGGGACCCAGGGTGATGGAAGAGTCTCCATCTGGAATGTTACTCATTTCATGAACGGAGAAAACTCTGGAGGGAAACCGAGTGCTCTGGATAGATGTCACACATAGCATTTCTGCTTACAATGAACTGACAAACTGGCCACAAGGCCCTTAACCAACAGTAACAAGTCTGTGAAGCACAGTCTTAACACATGCACTTGAGAGCCAGAAATAGTTGGTGGACAGTACAAATGATTACCACAGTCCAAGTCTCTGCTCACCAAATAATCAACACAAATAATGAACTACACATTCTCTAGAATGGTTAACACTAAAAGGAATGATGATTGTACCAAGCACTGGTGAGAATGTGGAGCAACAAGAACTCTTTGACACTGCTGGTGGGAATGTAAGAACAGCATAAACTACTTTGAATATGTTGTTGTTGTTATTTGCCATCGAGTCGGCCCCGACTCATAGCGACCCCTCCTTGGGTTTCCGAGGCAGTATCACTACAGAAGTAGGATTGCCCAACCTTCCTTCCGAGGAGTGGGTGGTGGGTTTGAACTGCCAGCCTTCTGGTTAGCAGTCAAGTGCCTTAGGCACTATGCTAACAGAGCTCCTACTTTGAATATATGTCTTTTTCTTGAGTAAATAACTACAAGTGAAATTAATGGGTTTTATGGTAAATGTGTATTTAATTTTAGAAGAAACCATCAAACTATATTCCAAAGATTTACACACAAAGATTTACAGCAGCTTTATTCATAATACCAAAAACCTGGAAACCACCGAAATATCCATCAGCAGATGAATGGATAAACAAATTGTGGCATATCCATATGCAATGGATTACTCAGCAATACATTCAAATGTTGGCAGTGTCCATTCTGTTTTGTCTGTTGCATTTTTTTTTTAACAATCATGTTTAGTTCCAAGAATTTTAATCTCAAATCACTCCTCTTTCATAGCAGCTTATTCTTTTCTATCAATGCAATACAATTTCATAATTGAGGATAAAGTTTAAACATTCTTATTCTCCTTATTCTTTCATTCATTGTTTTCAACAGTAGTCACTTGGTCTGCTGTGTCCCCTAGCTGGTTCTTGATTTCTTGTGTCCAGTGATCAGTGTTTAATCATTTGATTTATTCTGTGTAGGATCAATCCAGGTTAATAAATATCAGTTCCTTCAGGAATCGAGAAAGTGTGGTTGCGGGCAAACAAGGGCAATTCTTTCCAAAGTTAAGTTGGTGGTGAATGGGCCATCAGGTTCAATGCCCTCAAACTGTAGAGAGTTATGAGCTTTCCCTATCTCTCTGGGTATCCAGAAGAGTAGTGAGGAAAGGTTTGGGCTCTAATGGACAAAGTAAGAAATCGCAGACAGAGGGGAAGTCAGAGTAGATCTCTACCTGGTTCTCAGAAGTAGGATCTATTCTGAAACTCAAAGCTTTTAAACATACACATGGTGCCCCTTTGTGTAAGCCAAACTGTCAGAGTTTGAGAGAGAGCTAAGGGTATTTGCTTTCACTGTCAGCTTCCCAAAGTTTACCTAATATCTTTAAACACAGTAGTAGCATGCACATGTATGTCTGCTGAAAGAACCATATTACTAAGAATTGAGTTTTAGGAGTAGAAGTCCTGCCTAATTAGAAGATGTAAAGTGGTAAAAGACCTTTACTTTTATTGATTAAAAAAAATTCTAAAAGCATGAAAATAGCTGAGTACTTAATAGTAACTCACTGTACCTACTAAATGTAACAGAATCCAGTGAAAAGGTGATCCTTCAAACTTAAGCCTAAGAAACAATCAGATTATTATGTGCCTCTTGAAAGACAATCACACCACCTATGAGGACGTCTTGGGGGAAAAAAATCATCTGAATATGGTCATGCTTTAATTCTAACTACCAGTTCACAGAAAATAAGGAGAAACATGTTTAACTACACCACAGGGTTACAATCAGCAAAATCTACTGTCATAAACTATATAGACCAACTGAATTTTAACATAACAAATTGGAAAAGTTGAAGGAAAAAAAAAAAGATGGAGGGATATATACAGATTAAAAGATTCTTAAGAGACATCAACTAATCACAATGTGAAGTCCTTATTTGGATCCTGAATCAAACAAACCAGCTAAAAATAAAATAGTCACGACATTTGAGAACAGGAAATCTGAACATTTACTAGATATCTGATATAAACAAATTACTGTTACATTATTAAAAAATGTGACAATGGTATTGTGGTTATGTTTTCTAAAAGTACTTATCTTTCAGAGATACAAACTGTAGTATTTATCTAAAAATTCTGAAGTTTTTTTTTTTTTTTAAAAAGGCTCAATAGCAACATAAAATTGCTTCACTTTGAGCCATTCTTTACACTTGTGAACATGCTAAGCTATAGGAGCCTTCTTTCTGGGTCTCTATCTTGGTAACTAACCACAACATCATGGTATAGCAAAGTTTAAGACAATCCACAAAATACCTGGAATCAGTTATCGTGCTAATAAAGGTAGCTGAATTAAACCTGGTAAAGTATCTGAACCTGAGAGATAGTCCCCACCCTTCATGCAGAAATGTGGCCCAAGCTGAAGAAAATACAGTGCTGGATGAGGCCATTTATGATTTACCTTCAATCTAAGAAGGTTCTATTTAAATTTGATTCTTCAAAATAAAAGTGATTCTACTGTCTATCACTAGCCCTAGGTGCAAATGGCTCTAATCATTGTGCACCAAGTGTTTCTTTCCCAGAACTTGACTTTGAATTTAACTGAATGCAGGAAAAGCACTGAGCAAGTCTAGTGTATTGTTTCTGTACTGAAACCCAAAGCTTTAAGTATGGAGTTGGGTCCCCTTTCTGTTAGCCAAAGTGTCACAAGAGTTATGTGCCATGTCTCACAGAAGTACAGACCAGAGCTTGGGGGGTCAGGCTGCCTTGCTTACAGACATCTCTGTACTTGTTTGGGGTTCGATCTCTGGTGAGTGGCTTCCCCTTTCTGTGCCTCTAATATTCATCTGTAAGATGCCTCTTAGGATTGTTAGTAGGATTCAATGTACACAAATGCCCAAATGACCAGCACAAAGTAATTTTCTATAAATGCTGTGTGTGTGTGTGAGTGAATGGCTCTGAATTTAGGGGCAGGAAGACTGATGCCCTCATATTAAAACTTGTCTCTGATGAAAATATGGCAATATAGTTTTAGAGAATATAGCAAGGTTTCAGAATATTCTTCTTGTTGCTGTTGTTATGTGCCGTTGAGTCAGACCTGACTCAAGCGACCCCTATGTCCAATCACTACAGAAGAAGACTGCCCAACCTTCCTTCCGAGGAGTGGCTGGTGGGTTTGAACTGCCAGCCTTCTGGTTAGTGGTCAAGTGCCTTAGGCACTATGCTACCAGAGCTCCCCCAGAATATTCTTAGTTATGTGAACTAAAAAAGTAGCACTGATGATGCTAAAATGGAACCTAAGATTGAAGCTGTTATAGGTAACAAAATAGTCACTAGATTCTTATTTTGAGAAGTAATCTCATTTAGTAAAACTAAAAGGAAGCAAGCAAAAAGAATCACACCCAGAATGAAATTTATCATTAGCCAATACTTAAGATTTCATCCTAGCTCTCACTACCAAAATCAGCAGTGAAAAATTGTGCATAATGTCTTGTCTCAATAAAAACATACAATGAGCAAACCCTGGAAATAACTGATTCTTAAAAACCCACAATGGAAGCCAGACAAATGTAAAAAAGTGAACAAACTGAGCTGTTTTTCTGGACATAAAATATTTATTAAGGTATACTTTAGGGAATATAGTGAATATAAAATGTAAGATCACAGTATGAAGCAATCGCAATCCTCTTGACGGTCAGCACTGTCCTCAATGCTCTTCAGATGTAAAACCACTGGTGAGACTGACTCCACAGCTGGAAGGTACAACTGTGGCTTCTCACGAGCGTTTGTAACTACAGCATCGGAGTATCAGCTTTAAGTGCAAAACCACACCACATTACACTAAAGCAGCAACAATGCATCCATATTCTCATTAGTCATTAGTAGTCAACTTACATAAAACACCAGAAAAAAAGCACAATGGAGCTCACAAATGGGCTAAAAAATGAAGCCATCATTGCAAAACGGACATTGAAATGGAAGAAGAGACATTGTAAAAAAGGATTATGAACAGCACAGAAGCAGGCTGCGTTCATGACAACTGTCAAGTGCCATTTCCTTTTTCGTAATCAAATTACATGAATCAGGCACAACCAATATCTGGGAGGCAGTGAGTAGCTAAAATTTCATTTGACTAATTATTCAATGATTTTAAAAATCCCCACAAATCTTTTCTGTCCTGAGGTAGTTGCAAAATAAATCATAACTTGGATATCAACTAGGGCTGAGGCTTTAACTTTTTACTCATTAGAACTAGTTGTTACTGGCAGAACTACCTTTTGATATTTAAAAGACAGTCGAGCAATGGGCCTCTTGCTACACACACAAGATGATGGCTATGTGGTAAAGAGGATTAGCTGCTTCAGAACATGAGAAACAGGGTCCACATCGCTTCCACCCTTCCCACCCATTTTAGATTCTCTATATTGTCTGAAACGCCACCAGGAGCAACATGGTTGAAGTAGACAGATCATCGTCCTTTGCTGTAGCCAGGGAAGAAAAGGTCAAGTAGAGTCTGCAGGTTCTCATTAAGAATCATGATGTAATTCTGGCCAAGGTCATGCCGGCAAGCAGGGCAGGAGAAAACCTGTGCCTTAAAGGAGCGCTGTAAGCAATTCTAAGACAAAAGCAAAACAAAAGATACTCAACAACTTAAGCTTTTGAACAGGAACTGGAATCTCCATTTCATAACAAAAGAAATACACGGGTGAACAACTCCAAAGGCCTGAACCTAAGTCTATAGCCAAGGTCTTAGTGTCTCTTCTGGCACACACTAGGAAGGATGAACATTTTTGTGCTTCAATTTTCTCATCCAGTAAAAGGAGGATGTTAAAAGATTATTCATGGTTCCTACTAGCCTAATTTTTCAAGATGGATTTTAATCCTGTGTCTTCTTTGTGTTAAGGTCATTATATGCAGATTTTTTTTCAAATGATTAAAGAAAAAGAACACTCAGGGTTCTCCCTGTTACTTTAAGATTTACTCAAGTGGAATGGCTAGAACTAAGTTAAGAAATGACTTAACATACAACCACATATGTGGAAAGTTACTCATTTTTCAAAAGAAATGAAAATTTAGAAGTTAAGTGAGGGCACACCGTCACTAAATAGCAGAGCTGGATTTAAGTTTCAGTTTGACTAAAACTCAAGTTTTCCATTTACTTCACTGATAACATAATATTCAATTCACCTGGGCTTGCTGCCAGACTGTTGTAGATTCTTTATTAAGTGCATGGAACCATTTCAGTTTGAGCTATAACATATGAACGTATACAAACTATAACATATAAAACAACCCCTCCCCAATAGTTCTGAACATGAGAGAACACTTTAAACTATAAATATATGAATGACTATCACCATAGAAATAAAACATACATTTGCAACCAAGATGTAATTTACATGCTTCTCAACTACCAAGGTTTCTTAACTATTCTGCTTTGTGAAAACAGAGCAAAACCTGTGAGAGCTGGAACTCAACAGGATTGCCTTATTTTTCTGGGTTTCCCAAAGTGTTCTGCCCTTGGCAGGATGCAGTCTTACACTTTTTTATTGCTCATGTTAGTGGAAAATATCTGTGTTTTCCTTTGCTGACAGGTTTCCACCTTTAACAGGTTTCAGCTTTCACAAGTTTTACTGTACTTCAAGTACAGGACTTGGTGGTGAGTGAGCCTTCTGGCACATCAAGGGGTCACAAGAAAGGGAATCTACTTACTTTACAAACGTTGTGGAGGCACTCTGTTGTCACAGGCTGGTAAACCAGCTCCTGGCAGCAGACACACATAAAAGACTGTTCCAATTTTTTCAGAAAATTCTAGAATGGGACCAAACGGGGGGGAAAAAAAGAATTTGCATTTCAAATTATACTAACAAAATTCTAAGTGCTAAAAGGTCTTAAGTCACATTTAGTATGTTTCTACAAAGAAAAGAAAAATCAAGCAGTGACTGTAATGACCTGAGACAAGTAAACTTATATAGCAGGGGGGAAAAAAAAAAAAAAAAAAAAACCACTGCCATGGAGTCAACTCTGACTCACAGCAACTCTAAAGGACAGAGCAGACAGTCCCATAGGGTTTCCAAGGCTTTAAATCTTAATGGAAACAGATTGCCTCATATTTCTCTTGTGGAGTACCTGGAAGGTTTAAACCACTGACCTTTGGTTAGCAGCTGAAAGCTCTGACCACTGTGCAACCAGTTTCTTATATAGTGAAGCAAAGTCCCTCTAAATCTCATATTCCAGAGATAACTACTACTGTTCACTTAAAAAACAAAAACAAAAACCAAACAGCTTGTCAAGGACATTATACCTTTCTTTTCAAAAAGCTCTCTACTATATGAACATGCATAATTGATCCAATCTTTTGTTGTTACAAAACTTGAATAATTTTTTTGAACATTTTATTGTTTCAGGTGAAAGTTTATAGAACAAATTAGTTTCTCATTCAGCAATTTATACACAATTTGTTTCATGACATTGGTTGCTTTCCCTGCAAAGTGTCAGCAGTCTCCCCATCTCCATCCTGCCTTCCCTGTTTCCACCCCTCTAGTTTCTCTGCCCCTGCTTGCTTTCTTCTCATCTTTGCTTTTGGCAAATGTTTCCTGTTTGGTCTCGTACAGTGGATTTTTCTAAGAATCACATTCCTCATGGGTGTTACTGTTTATTTTCTAGGCCAGTCTATAATTTGGCTGAAAGGTAACCCCCCCCCAGGACTGGTTTCAGTTCTAGGTTAAAAGGGTATCTTAGGTTGACAGTCTCAGGGATTCCTCCAGTCCCTGTCAGTCCAATAAATCTGACCATCTTCTTCTTCTTCTTTTTTTTTTTAATGAATTTGAGTTTTACATTTTTATATTTGTATTTTTGTATTTTTCTCCCATTCTAACTGGAACCCTTCCATCGTGTCCCTGGTCAGAGTAGTTGTTAGTGGCAGCTGGGTACCATCTAGTTCTTAAGGTCTCAGATTATAGAAGGCTGCGGTTTGAGTGGGCTAGCACTCTTATGTACAGATTTCTTCGTTCAGTCTTTGGTTTATTTCATTCTCCTTTGTTACAGATGAGAAGAGACCAATAGCTTTATCTTAGATGGCTGCTTGCAAGCTTAAGGACTTCAGATGCTACTCACCAAACTAGGATGTAGAAGGTTATCTTTATGAGCTATGTTATTATGCCCATTGATCTAGATGTCTTGTGAGACTATAGTCCTTAGCCTTGAAGTCCAGTAACTCAGTCATTTAAGGTATTTGGATAAGTCTAAGAAGTTTCCATAACTGTGTCTTCTATGTGTTCTATTATATGTATAAATACATATGCAGTATAGATATGTATATACAAATGCCCAAAACCCTACCAATGTATGTATTCACATGTACTCCCACACACCCTGACACATCTATAAAGCATACATATATACCTATACAACCACTCACAAATTTTTGGCTGCCATTACTATTGCTGAATTCTATGTTGTTGCATTTACTGTGTTCCTGTTATTATTGTTAGGTGCTGTTGTCTCCAACTCATAGTGAGCCTATGTACAGCAGAACAAAATACTGCCCAGTCCTGTGCCAGCACTATAAATCCTTCCTATACCAGAGCCCATCATTGTAGCCACTGTGTCAATTCATCTTGTTGAGGGCCTTCCCCCTTTTTGCTGACCATCCACTTTATCAAGCATGATATCCTTCTCCAGGGAATGGTCCCTTCTGACAACATGACCAAAGTAGGTGACACAAAGTCTGGCCATTCTAGCTTTCAAGGAGCATTCTGGCTGTACTTCTTCCAGGACAGATTTGTTACTTCTTTTAGCAGTCCATGGTACTTTCAGCATTCTTTGCCAGCACCACAACTCAAAAGCATCAACTGTTCTTACAGTATTTACTGTAGTTGTCCTTTAATTCTTGTGTACCTCTCAGCGTCTTCATTTCCTTGGTCATGCTGTGCTGACTTCCCCCATGTTATGTATTGTTTTTCCTTCACCATAATTAACACATGTCTAGTACTTAATAAGTGATTCTCCCTCTCTCCTCCTTCCATCCTTGGTCAGCATCAATGAATATTGCTTTGCATGTGTAAATCTATTCTTGACTGTTTATAAAAGTAATGGTGGTGGTGGCAGTTGTGGGCCATTGAGTTGTCTCCGACTCACAGTGACCCCTCCTTGGGTTTCCAAGGCGGTATCTCTATGGAAGCAGATTGCCCAATCTTCCTCCTGAGGAGTGGCTGGAGGGTTTGAACCACCAACCTCCTGGTTAGCAGTCATGTGCCTTTGGCAGTACACCACTAGAACTCCCATAAAAGTAGTATTATATACAATATTTGTCCTATTTCATTCAGCATAATATCCTTCAGATTCATCCACATTAGTAGACTCATCATTATTCTTTATCACTGTGTAGTATTCCATTGTATGTATGTACCATGTTTTCTTTAACTTCATTCGTCTGTTGATGGACTCAGGTTGCTACCACATTTTTGCTACTTTGAGTACTGTTGCAATGAACATGGGTACGCGTATGTCTATTTGTGTCACTGCTCTTACTTCTATAAGATATATACCTAGGAGTGAGAATGTTAGATCATATGCTATTCCTATCTTTTTGAGGAAGTGCCATATTATTTTCCATAGTAGTTGTACCATTTTAAAATCCCACCAGCAATGTATAAGAGTTCCAATCTCCCACCTTCATCAGCATTTGTTGTATTTTGGTTTTTTTTTTTTTTTTTTTTT